GAAGGAGATGGCACCTACGATCGACCAGCGGCATTGCAGCCTACTGATATTTCACGCGCCTGAGTTAACGGATACAAATCCTCAAGCACCATCTGATCACGACGTCGAATTTATACACAGCTTGATTGATAGGCTCCTCGACCTGGTCAAACAGGTGTTGAGGATGAAGCAAAGCACCCGTCTTGGAAAAAGGGTGGAGGGTAATGTTTGGCCTCTACGAGTCAAGTTCGCAGACGATGCGATTCCGAGGGTGGTACTATCCCGCTTCGGTAGGCTAAAAGGGTTGAAGATCCATATTCGTCCAGATTTGAATCCGTCGGACTGAGAAAAACTGAAATCCGCTATCATTGAGTTGAAGGGGCTTACCCATAGCGGAGAAACTAACCACGGCATTGTAAATTTTCGAGTAGTTCACCGGGTCCGCTGAACCCGGGTTAACAGGTCGATGACACTTCATGCACGCCTGGCGGTTCCAACCGCCAAAAGTAATCACTAGTGGAGTGATTCAAGGGAGTGTTCTTGGTCCACTTCTTTTTCTAATTTATATTAACCATATATTCCAGAGAATAAAAAATGGTGTTACATCTATCTTTGCTGAGGTCATTAAAGTTGTCCACTCACAACCATGTGCAAATACCCAGGAAGCCGTACGTCTCATTCAGGATGACCTATATGGCCTTGACTCCTGGTGCCAACTGTGGCAGATGTCATTTGCCGTGGACTAGGGTAATATTTTGTCGTACAAATGCCAAGTACCGCCAGACAGTTTATTACTACAAGGCGCATATATCTCGCAATGCAAGGCAGTTTGCCACGTGGGCATGCGATATTCAGTCACGTTTAACTTTTCTAAGCACTGTGACTTTCAAGTTTCGAAAGCCATGAAGACCATCGGTTATATCTGCCATCATTTTTACCTCACGGAATCTCACATATCGCTTTACAAAACATATGCATTGCCGTGTATGGAATACTGTTCAATGGTACAATCTAATCTGCGGAAATCTGACCAGCACGCTCTTGAGAGGGTCAGGGACGCTTTACGAAAAAGCCATGTGGATATTCCTCAAAGTTGACATACAGAGAGCGATGTGATAAACTTGGATTTGATCCAGTTTGGCTTGAGATAATGAAGTTGAACCTATGTTTTTTTACAGAATCATAAATTGTCAAATTCGTAGTCTTGATAACGGTGTTCACATATTTTTAAACAGCAGATATCCAATACGTAACAAAGTGGTTAATGTCATGATTTCAAAATTTACTACGAGATCAGAGAACGTTTCTTTCTAACACAATACTCAAAGATTTGGAACAAACTTCCAAGTGCTATCAGAACATGCTATACATTTTGCAATTTTAAACTTTCAATTAGTAAGCATTTAACCGTCTAAAACCTGATTAATTTGTTCGGGACATCACAGTCCCTAGATAACGCATCCGAAAACGGTATCCATGGTGACTGAATAAATTTCCGAAACATACACATTACATTTCGGACAACAGCCCCTTTCATTACACTTTTTCTCTGTCTAAAAGCTGTCATGTGATTGTGATGAATCCTGATTCAATGGCAGGAAAAAAGAGCAGAAGGATTCTGATTACTCTGTGTTACCTAATTTGCAATTGCGTCCATGTTTATCTCTGAAAATGTATCGAAGAAATGGCATGGAAAAGTTGTACCATTATTTGATCTGTTCCTTATAGAGAACAGCTTCTCGTATCGTCGAGGAATGTACAATTTATTTATTTATTTATAAACGTGACAATCTATCTCCCGTCGTTGCCTCTCGTGGTCCGGACATACCGGGACTGGCCGAATCCTGGTTCAATCCTGAGGTCACTACCAAAGGAATCCATATAAGTGGCTACTCGTGCTTCTGGTGCGACAGATTAGCAAACGAGCGCAGTGGTGTGCTGTTATACATTCGGTCCTCGCTGTGCGGGAAACTGGTACACATCTACCGCAGCGAAGATGGCCTGTGCGAGTAATTAAGTTGCTCGATTCGCTTGAAACAGTGTGAAATGTTTGAGGGTGCAGCTTATCACAGCTTGCGAAGTCGATGTCTGGATTGGTTGCGGCATGTAAGAAACTAAATGCGACTGCCCCGCTTCCTGCTTATGGACGCTTTCAACTTTCTTAGAATACGGTGGCCTGACGCCCAACTTCTCCCGGGGCACTGTGAAATCGAGGTGCAATTTACGATGATAGTGTAGACTGTGACAGCACAACACGTCTGCCAACCGACGCGGATTACACCGTGTTCTTCCCCATCGTGCTTGGACCTAATATTAACTAGTTGCGAGCATTATATATGAAATTCAGATCCTGGAGCCTCAGGCAACTAGTGACCACCCGATGTTCTTAACCAATTCAGAGCTGCCGCTACCCTGCTCGCGTCCGCTGGAGCTGTAGTACAATTACTGAAAGACGGACTTCGAAGGTTTCAGTCGAGCGCCCAGTGAAGTGTAATGGTCGCCACCACAGGATTCATTTACTGAAGCCTGTTGGTCTAGTATAAAAGAGGGTGTGTCATCGTTGTGCGCTCGTTTCGTGCCCCTCCAATATAGGAAAGCTGGACCAGTGAAACCACGTTGGTTCGATAGAGAGTATGGCCAATTGGCTCGTCGGCTACGCGTATTGTGAAATGGATTCTTCGTGTTTGGCTCTGCCGACGATTATGAGGCATACAAAAGGCAGCGGAACCTATGCGACAGCACAAAAGCGCGAAAGCGTCAGTAATTCGCAGAGCAGCTTGCAACCTCAGCGAAGAGAGCTCGCAAGAAGATTTTTGTTTACGTGAAGCGGCGCTTGAGGCCCACAAATGACAGCCGTGTTCGAAAGCACTGATGGACAGCCTCTGACCTCCAGCACTGAACGTGCGTCTACATTAATGGAACACTTTGCTTCCGTAGTTACAAGTGGGCATGCGCCTATGCGGAGCTCGACGTATTCAGCCCCTGCTAAACTCGATGACCTGGATTGTGGAGTAGATATCCGTAGTCTACTCGTCATTCTTAACAGCACGAAATCTGCCGGACCCGATGCACTTCATCCGCTTATCTTAACGTGCATATTGGCCATCATCACGCCTAGCATGGAGGATCCGTTCAACAGGTCGCTGTCCGAAGGTGCATTGCCGAGCAACTGGTAATGCTCGGTGGATAATCCGATTCCGAAAGGCGGTGATCCACCCAAGGTGGATACTTACCGGCCGATTTGTCGCACCACTGTTTTGGCGAAGGTGCTGGAGAAGATTGTGAAAAAGCGTCTGCTCCAGCTGTTAGAGTCGAAAGACCTGCTAACACCGGCACAGCACGGCTTCATGAAGGGCCGCTCGTGCATCGCCAACCTGCTTTTACCGCGGCAGGAATGGCTGCAAACGTTCAATCGGGGGAAACCGATGGATGTTATCTACATTGACTTCAGTAAACCTTTGGGTAAAGTGAACCATGTGGTCCTGGCGCACCGCACCAGTGGATCAGTGACTTACTCGTTGAGAGAAGATGGCGGGTACAGGTGAATGAGTACCTGATCGACTGGTACGCCTCCACTAGCGGTGTACCCAAAGGCACAGTGCTGGGGCCAATTTTATTCCTGATCTACATTAACGAAGTGCCTCAGCTTCTTAGGTCGTCTTGTGTACTGTTTACGTAAGACTTGAAGATTTGGAGGGTTACTGATTTTGCCAACGATTGTGACGTCCTTCAGCAGGACCTCGACTAACTATCCCGGTGGTCTGCAGAAATTGACCTACCAGTCAACCCGGTCAAGTCCTCGTTTATGGGCCTGGGAAGGATAGTAATGGACTGCGTACACCCTGGCGGGCAACGCGCTGCATCTCACCAGTTCCATTAAGGATCTAGGCGTGCTCTCATGCTGTGATCTGAAGTCTGTCGACAACACGGACAGACTGTACGTAAAAGCACTGCGTCTGATTTTGGCACTTAGGCGCAGATTTTGCACTTAGGCTGAAGAAATTGACTCCCGTCTTTTCCGTGACAAAACCGGTACTTGAGAATGGCTCACCCGCCTATTGTCCGATCAAAATAGGTTAGGTGCATAGAGTGGAACGGGTCTAGCACGTAGCAACCCGGCTCATCCCCAGTTTACAGGGTATGTCGTAAGAGGAACGATGTAGGAGACTAAGGGCTGTACCCCTGTCATATTGTCGGCTTCGAGTTGATCTCATAATGACGCACGGCATATTTCACCTGGGCCACCCCTATGTTGAGGCCGCTACTGCACGTTCGCGCACCAAGCAGCACACGCAGTCACCGGTACAAACTAGTGGTACCGGATTTAAAGCGCCTCCCTCACCCACTATGCTTCAAGCGTCGAGGGGTGAAATAGGGGAACAAATTGTCGAAGATGCTAGTCGAGACGAAATCGGTGCCTACATCGATGCCTAGATGGAGAACCACATGTATAGGTAGCGCATCGCACCCGGATAGTAGTAGTGCAGCTGCAATATGCTGCCACCGCGCACGAATCGCCGAAGTGATTCCGCGCATGTGCCCGATCCACCTAAGACGGCGCAACATAGATTTTTATCTCCTCGCTCTCCATTCGCAGTATTCAGTTTTCAGATAAAAATCGTTGTGGCGTTATGGTTCCTTAACTATTCATGTTGCCCACAAGGGCATGATTGCCTAAATCGCCTCGTCTAATTGAGTGAACTAAGTAAGCGCTTATGTGATTATTGGATGCCAGTTGGAACCGCAGGTGGATTGACAGAATGCTTTACTAACGCCTTGCATTTGCAAGCTTCGCTTCAACCTACCAAAAAGTGCAACGGTATGTTAATTAAACTGGAATCCGCTCAGCTCATGTTTGGCATAGTGAACCGAACTGGACTTACGTCATTCTGTTAAGTGCTCCCTCGAATATACCCTCTGTCTAACCGCATCGACAACTAGAATCAGTTGACATGGATAGATTTTTCCATTCAAGCACGGATTAATTTGATCCCGTCTTCGTGCTTCTATTTTTCAAACAGGGTCGCAACGACGGACAACCGGAGATAACGGATGATATTAGTCTGCCGGAAGGGGTGACAAGCGTGGCGAACCAGCATAATTTGGGCATCCCGTCCGCTCAATCTACTACTGTATGAACCATATAAGACCAGAACATTCAATTCGGCGATCTTGACAGGAGCAACTCTTTCTAACCAAACCTGGCTTGCCGTCGTTTCCATCTTCAGTAGCCTAATCAACACGGTGGAGTAATAGGCAGGAGAGCCCCGAGCACGAAGAATAGAAGAGTTTGAGTCGACTTTTCCCTTTCCCCTATTCATATAGATTGTGATGAAAATATGGATGAACACATACATTTAAGCTATTCATGAGAATTGCTAGTGCATATACTGTATTTTCCCAGACTATTCGAATCCAAATGTTGCTTCCCACTGCATGGAGCCAGAATTTTCGTTCCTCTGGCAAAGTGAAGTAGTTAGTAATAATTGGCTTCACCTCTACCTTGTACTTATAAAAATGATTGGTGAATGAAGCAAAAGTGATTCTGCTAAGATCATTACATATCTGTTTTTCATGATTGGACTCAACTTTCTCCTCTGTAATTCCGATAACCGACGCGAGTACGCACCTGGTCTGGAGCACATTAGGGGATGCAGTTATTCCCTTCAGAATTTCAGCATAAAACTCCTCTACCAGCCACCTTGCAACCTTGATGTTACCCAATCTCCTTAAGACTTCAGACAATGTTCGTTGGAATTTTGATAAGTGGAATTAAAACTGTTCTTCATTATCCAAATTGCCTGGGTGTGAAACATGTTCAAGTTGGTTAGCAGGTTAATCGCCATGCCATTTAACTGCGTCCATCTGGTTAGGAACTCTTTCATGTCCCACCACAAGGGTGAATACACTTAACACAATATGCAATGAGTAGACAGACTCTCTGAACGTGGTAGTTAAATGGCCGATATAGCGACCTGCCATGCAGGACGCTATCCGGCCCATTTACACCGACAGATTGGCTGCAGTTAAGAAACTGCTTCTGTGTCTGGAAGCGAAATGGTAATTACAATGTGCTGTAGCTGTGATCGGTCGATTAAGAATTCCTAAAAGTGTTGGCGGCAGTTTTGGCTATTTACACGGGTGTTTGATGGTATTCTAAGTGTGTCATTATCAGTATGTTGGCACGCAGTACGGACGTTTCACCGCCGCGCGTAGCTAAGGATAGTGCGGGGTTGCCCGTCTCTACACAGCGTCGAACCCGCGACCTAAGGATTACAAAGCAGGCTTGTGACCCTTAAGACTAGGGGCTGGCCTGTGGAAATGCCATCCAGCTTGTGTTGTGGTACTTCGGCTTTGGACAACAAACAGTGGCTGGTGAGCATTCTTGACGTTGCAACTGTTATTATTTTTCAATACCTATCGGGCGGATGCTAAACATATTAAATGCCTCATTGTAATCATTTTCGATTACTGTTCGTGTAACCAGGGGCAGCTAAGGAGAAAACAAATCCAACATTACCTAATCCAGTAGGTTACCTAAATGCAAATTGCACAAAGCAACGCTTGCGATGAGTCGGCATAGATCGATGAAAATTCCTGTAATAAGATTCAAATAACAGTTCAGTATATAGAGGGAATTGGGCCAACCATACATGGTAATAATTCTACTAATCTATGTAATTTCCAAAGTGACTAGTGCATCTTGGGTGTATCCAAAAAAGGGATTGTGGTAATTCGTAGTTTTAAATCATTTTGTATGCAAGTGGAGAGCTGTAAAAACAAAAAGTTTAGTCGAAGATGAGCAGGCAAAGGCCGTTTCTTTCAGTTACCACTCTCAGACTAAACACAGGATACAAGTTCAGGGAAGAATTTCGTCAGTAGATAACTAGAGTACACTTGGAGATGCAAGTAAATAACCAGAACAAAAGCGGATGGAGAGGGGGAAAGTAGCTGGTTATGAAATGAGACACGAGGTTAAGTGCCGCCTCACTGGAAGCAGCAGATCTGCGGTGAATTTAGTGAAGCTTTGATGTAGGCGACCAAAAGTGGATGTGGTGTGCCCTTAGGCTTGCTTATTCCTGAGCGAACTACGCGAGAAAACACCAACTTCCCTTTAGATCTCTTAGTTCACATACTATTGGTGGTTAATACTGCTTCAAAGTCCCGATAACCACCCTGACATAATACTTTTTATGTCGGTCTTGCGAAGTCCGTGCAGCTAGTACGCCCCGTCCTGAGGTTTCATCGTACCAGCCGCAGCTGATGACTGAGCTAACACTGACGTTCCTGACAGATACTTGGGAGTACAATAGTAGCTGTATGGTGATGTGCATATGCGTTCGACGGTGAACCAACATACCGGCAGCCACCTCAGTGACGCCTAGTCCCTCAGGATCAACATCCGCCAATACATTGGCTGGTGTGTAGCAGACCAGTGCGAAACACGTCGGTACGTCATTGCATGTCAGGCAGGTTTACTTCATATCAACTCTCGTTAGCCTAATTCTCAGCCAAATGCGGTTATGTAGAAGAACTGTTGGTGAAACGCCGAACTCGAGATTGCTTAAGATAAGCATACTGTGTGGAATAGCGGAATGAGTAACCTGACAGTGTGCCAACGGAATTGAACATGACGCATCATATGCATTTGTGTAAGTTAGAGAATCAACTTATGGGCGTGAATGAACTGAACGCCGGTGCTGCGCCGCTTGATGTACATGCGATCTCCCATGTCTCAAGCATCAAAGAGCCACCATTCTCTAGCAGAAGTGGTCAGGGTTATTTACCTATGAGTGTCGGTCTCTTGCTTACCAGCTATCCGGACGAAGGGGGATAAGAGTAAGAAAATGTCAAGGAACATCAGGATGCCATACGGACTGTAATGGTTAGATCTCCCTCTGTAACACAACGAACAGCTTGTGTGCTTACCATTTCCGACCTCTTTCTGGGCGCATAAGTACAGCGATACTGTGTATGCTGCCTTACAGGTGGAAGAAGTCCGGGTGGCCATAACCGAACGAACTAGAAAGCAGCTATGTGTTGAAAATGGTGATTACTGCATCAGTCGGAAGGCTGACAGAAAGGCTCAGCTAGACGGTCGCATTACCACAGAATCCGCCGGACATCTCTTATTTACTGCAACTCAACCGTCCAAATCTGCACCTGCACATAAAACCGCGTTGCCCACTACCGGGGTTAGCCAAGGCCTAGTAGTTCACGAAGATCCATCTATCCTTGACATCTTGATGGCGGAAATGGGCAGAACCCTTCAACTACTTGCAAATGGCACCAGAGGCGTAGCAAGGGAGCGGGAGGGGGCTGTCCGTCCCAGGGTGGCACGTGGTAAGGGCAGCATTTCTATTACAGTTGCTTGCTCGATACGAAGTGTAGACGGCAAAATTTCCAGATAAGCCCATAGTTGAATATTACGGCATTGCTCTGGTTAACTGTTATAATTGAGGGAACGCCGCCTCTGAGATAATTGCGTGACAATATTGTCGCTCGCACGGTTGGAGCACGCCTACGATGACGACTTGTAACGCTGGCCACTCGAACGGAGTTGCGCTGACCTGATGACACTAGCTTAGCCGGTGAGACGGAAAATTGAGCGAGCGTGTGAACGATCCTAGCCGCACTTGTTCGGATAGACGCTGAGACCTCGGAAACGGACGCACACGAGAGGGGGTACGATAGACGCGCGCTAATGACTTAGACGCGAAGGCTGGCCAGTTAACGACTCACGCGCAATCACGTGACCCGACCGACTCCCAACTGAGGCGAAGAGAAAGAAAAGGCAAGTGGTCCTCTGTAGGCTCTTTTACGACCAACAAAGGGTGATCACAGCCGATGCTATGGGATATTAAGGGAAAATTTCTACCATGACGAGGTGGTAGTTTGTAAAAGGCCATTGTCAAAAGGGGCGTAGTTGGGCCGCGTCTCGGAGTGGCTGAGCTCTGCTGCGTTGTGATGAATTGGATCCCGCTTCTCACAGCCATTCTGCCGGGGTTTCTGGCGCGTTTTTGCGGGGATTTTTGACGAGCCCGCAACATTAACCAAAACCAAATTTGCGCCATCCGTAACCCCCCGACCGTCGTCTGTTCCTTCGCGCCTTTGCACGCATCTTTCCCGTTACACAGCACCCCTATGGCAGTTGTCCTTGAACGTAATACATTGTCGCCCATAGGGCGGTGTACAGCGGCCAAGTCATTGGTAAAACCTTCCATGGCCCAAAATAAGTGCCTGTATCATCTCGATTTCTGACCCTGACCTTCGTGATCTGTCTGTACAGTCGCAAGTAGGGTGTTAGGTACTCTACTTGTCTATTTTGCGAAGACACGGTTGTCTCTGTGCTGAGCCGGTATGGGAGGGTTTTGTCTTTATTGAACGTGATGTTCGTTTCCATGGTAGAGTAATTCACTCGATTGCAATTTTTGTTAAAGTGGACCGGTTGTTCGTTTTTTTCTATATTTATAAATCGCTGGAAATTCTTAATTCAAACGACCGGTCTAAGTATCCAGAGGGTCGTGAAAACTAGGTGAAGTGATCGAACAGCCTCTGTAAAGGTTGTGTTGCAGAAACACTTGGAAACCATTACTGCTGTGGACTGGTTCGCAGAATACGGAGTACTTGCAACTACAAGATCAGATGGCTCTTTACCTCTCATCACGTCATTATCGTTTCCGTATATCCGGTTTCTGAACCTTTGGGGGTCTGTTATCCCAGGAATTAATGATGCACGGAAATATCTTCAGACCAAAGGTTGGAACTGTTGCAAAGTTCCGTCAAGATCACAGCGTTAAGAGTTTGTGTTTTTCAGAATAGAGATGGTGGACAATGCAATGGATGAATCCAAAAACTACTCTGAAATCCGTATAAGCGTGAAGCGTCGGATTGTTTGTTTGATACATTGCTGGGATTTGGTGCCGTGTTGAAACAGAAAATACTGTCTGCCATAGACAGATTGACTGATGAAACACATCGCAGATTTCACTAAATTCCTGACCTTGCAAACGAAGTTGTTTTCTTCACACCGTTCAACAGTACAATTGGAAAAGTACCACAACACCGTCAACTCCTGATGATAAGTCTGCTTGTCCGCTTAGCGAAGTTGAGGAAGGTACAGAAAAAGAGGAATTGTTTGCCGAAAGAAAGAAATGGCATTAGTTCCTGAAAGCTTCAGGAAACGACAAAATCTATAGTCCCTTTTAACCTTAGCGTTTCACACATCAATATCAGCTTGGGGAATCTGCACCAAATATGGTGACCATGCTGTGCATCTCACTATCCGAGACGTCAGGTTTGTCAGCTGTAAGTGGTTGCTGAAAACCCAATCCGTTAAAGTACTATATTTGATCAGTAATAAACCAAACGAGTCTCGTGAATTTGGCAGTTCCCTCTATCTAATGGGAGCTTGCCCATGGACTCAAATGTACTAGTGTTCTCGATAATTTGTTCGCAGATAAAGTACGAAAAGTGTGGTTGTAACTTTTGGACACGAAACGGTAATAATACAATGGCTGGTACCTAGAGAAGCACCCTAAAATTAGGCCTTTGATTGTTAATCTACGGAACAAAATACTGAAGGACTTTTCACAATTGTGAGGGTGACGGATTTACACCTGACAGCGGGGGGCGAAAATCTTATAACCGCTCCGACAAGCAGAAGTAGTTGTTACTATGTCAATGGTTTGTACAATATTTAACTGTTTCCGCATGTTACAAATTTTTACGCGTTTGTTTCACAAATCCGTGGTATGGGCTTCGAAGATAAGAAAGCATGCTTGAAGAGACCGC